ATGGCGCAATCGGGCATTATCGATCGGCGATTTCCGAGTACAATCGATCCCCGGCGAATAATCGGACTCTCGGCCAATTTGACGCTCAGGCGGCAAGCGGCGTTTTGCAATCCGTTCTGCGATCGGTCGGAAGCGCACGTGATTTGGGCGTGGACCGGGGGAGGGGGTTTCTATTCGCGCGCCAGAGTCGAGTTTTGAATTGCGTCAACCCGAAATAAAGGCTGCAAAGCTAGTCAAAGGTCACGAAAGCTATTCGGCTAGCTCATTCCTCAAAACGCCTTTTTCTTCTTCTTCTTCTTCTTCTTCTTCTTCTTCTTCTTCTTCTTCTTCTTCTTCTTCTTCTTCGTCTTCGTCTTCCTCTTCTTCTTCTCTTGAATTTTCAAGGTCTCGCTGGCGTTCGCCGAAGGTTGCATTTTTATGGCACAATTAGGAAGCCTCGAGGAAGGTTACCTCGGCGACTCGCGTACGCGGGCGCGCGAGAAGCGGCGGCGCGCGGGCGAAAATCCCCTCGGCCCTCGGGAAAGCGAGGCGCGGCCCGGGCGTAATTGGGTCGTCGGCGAGGAAAGAGGAGGCGCGCGAGCGCACGCCGAGGAGGAAGAAAGCGAGACGAGGCGACGAGGGAGAGCGATCAGCTGACCGGTCGGAGCGCCCAGACTCGCCGGCGAATCGCGGGCGGCGCGCGTCGGCCGCGGCGTGTCCTCGCGCGCGCGCGCGCGGGCGACTTCTGGCCGCGCAACGGCCGGTCTTGAAACTGGAAGACCCTGAACTTGACTGAGTCTTCCTTATAGGTCTCGGTGCTGCTCGCCTCGCCTCCTCTGCGGCCCGCGCGTGTCTGTGTACGTGCGCGCCGCCAAACAGGTGTGCGCCCGCGCGGCTCTATGTAAATACACGGGCGGCCAGCGCCGTCGGCTCCCACGGGCTCTCCTCATCGGCGAACAGTGACCGACGCCCGTAACCGAGACCGAAAGCGAAAGATCGAGCGCCGCGCTTTTTTCCTTTTCTCGGTCGTTTTTCTCTCTCCTTTTCCTCGCCTCTTCGCTTTTCGGGCCGCGGGGACGGGGAGCGCGCGTCGATGGCGTTGCGCAATACGCGGCGCGCTTTTCCACGCCACGAGCGCGTCCCCGACCAATCCGACGCTCTCCTCCGCGCCTCGTTCCTCTGTCTCTCTCTTCTCGCGCGAGTCGCGCGTTCAATGGCGCGCTCCGAAGCGGGCCGAGTCGCGTGAATGGGCGCCGCTCCGATTCTCCGGTGAAAAATCGCTCGCCGCTCGCCGTTCCGAGCTCCAATTTTTTTGCGCGCAGCCCGTAGTGAGAGCCGCGTGTTCGATCCGACGCCAGCGAGAAGCGTAATCTCACATATCCACCGCTTTATCCCAAAGATATACGTTGGATCGTTGGAAGCAGGCTGTAAAGTGGTATCCTCGTTCCCCTTTTTGTACAGGCGTAAAAAGAGAAAAAGAATAAAAAAGAACAAAAGAAGAAAAAAAAAACAAAAAAAACAGAAGAAATCCTGACATAACGAGATGAAGTAACTTTTTTATCTCCGCATCGACGAAGCGTTCGACCATTCGAAAGTAGACCGTACAAATTTTTTTTCTCTCCGTCGATTATCATATTATCCTTCATTTGTTCGTTGACCGCAAATTAGCGATGATCAAAAATCCTCCTTTTTTTTTCCTTTCTTCAACTCTATTTTGGTTGCTTTTTTTTGTTTCCCTTTTGCCTCCGTCAGAGGATAGCGCTATCGTTCACAACACCAATCCTACGAGGCTATCGACCCGCGACACGTCTGGTCAGTAAACTTTCGAGCGTTTTGACAACGCAAAAGAGAAAACGAACGAGGAAAACCCAATCGGCTCGATGGAAGAGTGCAGCGGCGAGAGGAAGGAGCGTGCGCACAAGTGAAAACCCGTAGGCGCGCGGCATCGAGGCGACGGAGCTCGGTCGGGCAACACGGGAGAGACCCGGTCGAGAGACGGTGTCGTCCGAACTCCTTCTCGGCTGCCGGCACCTCGCGCGGGATCGGCTGGCCTTCTCTTGATCCCGTCGCGGCCGCCCACGCGAACGACAACTCTTTTCGTCGCTGCGTTCGGCCGAAGATGCGAGTCCGGTTGAATAAAGGAATAAAACGAAAAACAACGGAAAAAAAAAAAGTGACGATGACTCACGCCGGACACATCCGTTTGACTATACTGCAGCAGCCGCGCGTATATTCACAGTTTGTTTCCGTGAATGTCGTTGCCCTCGTCGCGAGTTCCCTGTAAAGCGCGACAGCGTACTCGGCCTCGTCTCCGACGTGGGCCGAACGAAACCGCTGGTCGCGCGGCTGCAACTCGGGATTCGATCGACATGTCCAGTGGGAAGCGGCTTTGAATCTGCCGACGCAACTTTCGCTCGGTCGCGATGTCAAGGAACTCGGGCGCGCGAAAAAACTGATTTTTCCTCCCGCGGAGCGGCGAATTCGGAGACGGGACCGCGGTGACGGACCAACGTCGGAGGGGACTCGCGCTCGCGAGAACGATTCCCAACGTTGCTCCGACGATCGAAGGAGAAAAAGAGAAAAAGTCGCTTTCCCTAGGCGGCGCGCGGCCAAGTCGACGCGCAAACGCAGAGTGACGAATCCCTTTCGAGCGAGCAGCATGGAAACAAGAGAGCCGCCGAGTCAGCTTTGTCCCAGTGACGAGCGGACGATTCGCTCACCTATAAAGCGTCGCAACCGAGCAACCGGACACCCCCGCGCGCGCCGACCTTCGCCGACTGTAGGGAAATCGGGCTTATCGCTGGCCAAAGCGAAAGCCGATACGGTCGGACGAGTCGACGCCCACGCGCGAACGCGCTTCCGCGCGAGCGACGCGCCAAGTCCCGCGGTGCTCGCGCGCGATCGGAAAACCAGGGGCAGGGACTGTCCGGCCACGTCACGATCGCGCGACGCAGAACTCGATTCTTCTCGCTCGGCGACGCGGATTTCGCAAGCGCGCTGCAAAAAAGCTCGAGCGCGGCAGGCCGCGCCGTCGCCGCCGCCGCCGCCGCCTCGGCTTTTCTCAGGCGCGCCGAAGAGTCTGGAAGTTTCAGTTAGAAAGTCGGTGCGCGGCGAAAACGACGACGACGCGCGGGGACTTTGCCTTGGTTTTGCCAGTCCTTTTCGTTTTTCCTTGGCTCTGTCGCGCGCGCGCGTACGTTCGTTCGCTTCGTCGCCCTCGTCGTCCGAGCCGATCCTCCGCGCCGGCGTGCACGGCTCTCTCGAGGAGCGCCCGCGAGAGAGGCGGCGCCCGCGCCGGCGCGCGATTGTCCGTTTGAAAAATGCCAAACGATCTCGAGCGGCGCGCGCGTCCAATCGCTCGCGTGAAAGTTCGGACACGCCAAGTTCGCGCGCGCGCGCGATTTCTCGAGGTGGCGAAATCGCCACCGCCGACACGGCCGAGCGAGCGCCGTTTTGCATCCCCGCGAGACGTATTAATCACGATCCGCGACACGCTCGCCTCGCGGATTCGAGGCGATAGCGCGCGCGCCAATTGCCGCCTCGGCTGTTTCCAAGACACAACGGGCTCTCTCTCTCTCTCTCTCTCTCTCTCTCGCTCTTGCTCTCCCTCTCTCTCGGGCGCGCTCGCTGTTCCCTGTCGTCGCAATCGCGAGTCCAGATGGCTTTTCCAACCGGCGCGAGTCGCGTGTTGGCGCGCGTGCGTCGGGTCTCGTGCTTATTCTCGATTCGATAGCGCGCGCGCGCGCGACTCGCGCCGCGCGGTCGGGGGAGGGGAGGGGAGACCCTAACGGCGCGAGAGCGATCATCGCGCCTTCTCTTCGCTATTTTCTCGCTCGTCGCGTTTGCGTCACCATGGGTCGCGAGGCGCTCCGCGTCACGTGAACGGCGCGCGTCGCGTGCGCGAGGGTCTCGACGACGGCTCCGCGCGAGTCTGCGGCCTTGCGCGGCTTGAATTCCTCGCCGCTCGGCCGCGGACAATTTGCATATTCCCACAAAAGAGCGCGCGCTCCGCCGTCGATTTTCCAGGCGTATCGAAATCGCTGGAAACCGCGGCACGTGCCGTCCGCGCTCAGCGTCCCTCTCTTTCTCTCTATGCCCGCTGCGCGCGCTTGTTTTTCGACAGTGCTGATGAGCATCGCCTTTTTTTCCGCGCGCGACTTTTCGTCGGATTCCTCGTGAGTCGCGATCGCGGTCTCGCGGCGCGTATCAGCGAAATTCCTCGCCTCCGATCGCTCGGCCGAAATCACGCTTCTCGCGCTCCGGTAAGGGTTGATCGAGATCGCGCGCCCCTCGAGCTACCTAGCGCGGTGCCGAAGAACCAGGCGATCGGCCACTCTTTGTCGGCGTCACCGTCCGAAGGCCGACGCAACGAAATTTTTCACGGCCAGTATAAATTATCGCCTCTTTGGAAATCAGCATCTGGATCGGATCACCGGCGAACCGATCACACGAAAACGCGCGGCGGTACGCGGCCAGCCGTGACAATGTTCATTTCTTCTTGCTTTTTTCCCGATCCAAGATTGCCCAACGCTCGTCGCAGCCGAGCTTCTGGCCTCCGTCGACGAGGCTGCCGCTCACCCTCGCGACCCTCACGGCCCGCGCGAGAAGGAAGCGCGGCCGCGGAGGAAATTTCACGAGCGCGGGTAAAAAATCGGCGGTGGGTACGATCTAACGGTACCGGCGCCTTTTTGCGTCTATCGCGGCGAGGAGCTGCGGCTGCTCTCTCTCTCTCTCTCTCTCTCTCTCTCTCTCTCTCTCTCTCTCTCTCTCTCGCTCTCTCTCTCTCTCTCTCTCTCTCTCTCTCTCCCGCTCTCTCTCCCCCGTGCGCGCGAGCGTTCGGCAGCAGTTGGTCGGTGTGTCTCTCCTTGCCCCCTCCCCGTGTCGCGATGTCAAGTTGCTGCAGCGCCACCGCCGCCGCCGCCGCCGCCGCCGCCGTCGCCGCCGCCGTCGAGCCGCCGCTGCTCGCTCTCCTTTTTCTTCCCTCCCGGCGTATAAGCGGCGCGAGTCGACAGACCGAGGTGTACTCGCGCTGCTCGTTGTCCGAGCTCGAGGAGTCCTGCGCCCGTGTGTTGACAGCCGCACTGCCGCGTGAACAACGTTCGCAGCGCACACGCACGCCCTTGCGCTCGCGAGCCCGTCGCCTGCGACCAGTGCCAATCTACCGAAAGAGGGTGCGAACTCGCCTCGCCCTCGCTCGCACTTTCCCAGGCCGTCCGCCCGTCCGCCCGTCCGTCTGCCCTAAGACGAGTCGTCCCGGAGGTAAGTTGACTTTGCTCTCGCGGCCAACCGAGCGCCGACTGGAGGCGTCGTGCCCCGCGACGCAGCTTCGACGAAGAAACGCATCCGCGTTCCGCGCGCGCGCCCGCTCGCGCCGCTCGTAAACAGCGCCCGCGTGTTTTGTCAATTTTCCTCGGCGCGGCCGCGGGCGCGATGAGAAGCGACGAAAACGCCAAGGAAAAAAGGAGGAAAAAAATAAGAAAGAAAGAAGAAAAAAAAAGAAAAAAAGAAATAAAGGAAAAAAAAAAAAAAAAAAAAAAAAGGCGCACGCGAAATAAAATAAAGCGAAAGCACGAGAAAGAAGGAATTAGACGCGCGCGCGGAATTCGATTTGCTTTCGACGCGCTTTATCGAGGACTGACTAAACAAAAATTCTTCCTACAAGTGCGCGTGTCAAGGAAAATTTTTAGCCTCTCGTCGGCTCTTCCGCTTTCGCGTTCCCGTAAGCACTTTGAGGAGCCGTCGAACGGTCACCTAATTTTTGCACTCTGCGTCGCAGGCGAAAAGAGCAGCGAGAGAGAATACCGGAATCGGCGCGTCGGCCGCTCGGCAAAAGCTCGCCGGGCGCTCGAGGGAAGCTCGACACTGCCGCCGTCCTTGAGCTTGACCTTGTGGCCGCTCAACAGGAGAGCAAGGCAGAGGGGCATGGCGGCGTTCTGGTTGCTGTTCTGCTGCGTGGCGGTGCTGTCGGTGGCGTTGGCGTTCACCTCCAAGCTGACCAGCCGCGTGGAGGCTTTCGTGGTGCGCAAGCTCAGGCGCGGAAAGTCGGCGGCGGTGAGCGCCGAGGCGAAGAAGAGCCTGAGAGGGCCCAAGCCCTTCCCCGTGATCGGCAGCCTGCACAAGCTGGACAATCCCGGCGGGCCGTTCAAGGCCTTCACCACCATGGCCAAGCAGTACGGCGACATCTACGAGATCCAGCTGGGCGTGTGCAAGTGCGTGGTCGTCAGCAGCTACAGCCTCGCCAAGGAGGTGCTCATCGCCAAGGGCAGCCACTTCGGCGGCCGGCCGGACTTCCTCAGGTTTCACCAGCTCTTCGGCGGCGATCGCAACAACTGTGAGTACCGGTCTCCCGGGCGTCCTTCGGGCCCGCGCTTCCTGCTCCGCCGCCGCTAAAAATAACGCCGCCCGGTCCGCGCCGCGGGACCGTGGGGGATCCGCGTCCTTAAGCGGCGCCGCGCTCAATGAAAACCGCCCGCGAGGCTCTCTTCCTGCTCGTCGCGGCCGATTCACAAATCCGCCGAGCGCTAAAAATAGCCTCGCGAGTTCGCGCGTTACGCGCCGCCGAGCCGAGCGGCTTTGGCAATGACCCAATTCTTCGACCTGTCGCGCGTCGCGCCGCGCCGGGAGAAGGGCTGCGGCGGAAAAAAACCTCGGCGCGCCCGGCCGCCGTCGGGAGGAAAGCTCGCCGCCGCGGGCGCGCGCCCACGCCGATGTTCCCCCTCCCCCCCACCCCGAGCCGCTCGCCGGAACGCCGCGGAGCGCGAGTTTCTAGAGCACGAATCCCGGGGCGACCTTAGCGTGACACCCGTGCCGCTCTGCGCTCTATCCGTCTCCTTTCGAGCGACTTCTTCCTCGCCTCCGCGAGTTCCATCCTCGAGATCGAGCGGCGATCGATGCGCGGCGAAACGAATGACCAGTCGCGCCAAGCGATCTTTTCTCTCTCTCTCACCTTTCCTTTCATTTTATCATAACCGCACGCGCGCACATTCTAATTGAACAAGCTCAAGAGCACAGCCGCGCATGCGACATTCGATACGAAATCTAGCAACAAGGGTCTCATTTTTCCAGCAGTCGCGCGCGCACGGACACGGCCGGCCGGGGAGGGGGGTGCCCGTCGAGGAGGAAAGAGAAATAATAAAAAGAGAATCGAAACGTGACGTTGAGAGAAATGAGCGCTATGTCGCAACGAGTTTCATCAGTTTAGGCCGCAAGTGAAACACACACACGCGGGCGCGCGCGCACACACACACGAAAGTAATCCCGTGGTCGTGGCGTGTAGGCTAAAAAAAAAAAAATGCACGTATACCGCAATACAACACACGCACGCGCGGGTAAACAAATTACAGTTACGCGCACTTTCCATTGCTACTAGACGGATGAAAGCAGCAGCGAGAGGGGAAAACCGATTTTTCGTGCCCTGAAAAATATAGGCCTGAATCGCGCGCGCGAGAAAGGCACGCGAGAGAGAGAGAGAGAGAGAGAGACTTAGACGATTCTGGATCTTACTGTTATTTTCATCTTACCCGCGGCGGCGCGCGGCAACGAGCGCAATCGTCGGCGCCGATCTAGATTAACGGTATACCGCTCATGCACGACGCAGAGAAAGAACGCGCGCAAATTTACGAATCGGTTTTTTTTTTCTTTTTCTTCGCTGTTCGCCTCTGGAAGAAAGTCACATACCAGGACACACGCGAGCACCCGACAAATCATCTCTGTCTCTCTCTCTCTCTCTCTCGACTTTTGCGCGAAAAGAAAAAAGGAATCGAGTTTTTTTCCACCTCTCTTTCGAATCCTTGCTTTGCGCGACTTGTAGATTAGACGCGTCTGGTCGCTTCATTTGGTAGTTTAGTAGCCTAGACGACGATTATCATTACCGTCGTCAACGAGGCGATCGTAAAATTTCGGATCTCCATCTTTTCCCGTTGAAGGTCAATAATTCGTATGTATAACGATTGTTAGATAATTTTGACCCATTTTCGTACTTTCGATGGAGAAGAGAGAGAGAGAGGGGGGGGGGGGGCAGAGAGAGAGAGAGAGAGAGAGAAAAACGAATCGTGAGTCAGGCAGGTTTAACGATCTTTCGACCGGTTACGTAAATGAAGCGAGCGAGAAGACCGGTTAACTTTTAATTTTTAATTCCTAGTTACGACTCGTCGAAATCTTGTGGCTCGATACACAGGTACGCACGCGCACACTTGGAGAAGCTCAATTGAATTTTCGGTTATACGCTCAAAGTCAAGGCTTCCTCTCTCTCTCTCTCTCTCTCTCTCTCTCTCTCTCTCTCTCTCTCTCTCTCTCTCTCTATTTACACTCGCACGTCTATTCGCTTACCCAACGATCTTAGAATGCGGAACGGCGACGGCGATGATGAGTTTCGGGTCAAGTTCAAACCACCGCTAATCGCGTTATCCAATCTATCGATTTGCATATTTTTCACAGGCCGCTCGCGGGTAAATACAAAGCTTTCTCGACGATTACCGCGTTGGGCTCCTCGTTCTCCACGTGGAATCGTTAAGCAGCTCTTTTGTCCTTGTTATCTTTTTGTTTGGCGTCGTCTCTCTTTTTGTTTTCGGCGCGCGAGCAGAAAATTGCCAACTGGAACGATCGCGCTCTCCCGCGCGCCGCTGACTCGTCCGTGTGATTTCAGCTCTGGCCTTGTGCGACTGGTCGGACTTGCAGCGCAAGCGCCGCTCGATCGCCCGCAGCTTCTGCTCGCCCCGAGGTGGCAGCTCCCAGCTGTCGGAGCTGTCGAGAGTCGCGGTCGACGAGATGCGGCGCTTCCACGAGCTGCTGAACGCCGACGCCGCGATCCGCGAGGGCCAGTCGCCGGTGAAGCCGCTGATACTCACCGCCATCGGCAACATGTTCACCCAGTACATGTGCTCGACGCGCTTCGGCTACGAGGACGACCAGTTCAACAAGGTGGTGCGCACCTTCGACGAGATCTTCTGGGACATCAACCAGGGCTACGCCGTGGACTTCCTGCCCTGGCTGAAGATCCTCTACACCGGCCACCTGAACCGCATGAACGAGTGGGCCGACTACATCCGCAGCTTCATCCTGAAGGAGATCATCGAGCCACGCAGGGCCACGCTGGACCTGGAGACCGGAGTGCCCCGGGACTTCACCGACGCGCTGCTGTTCTACCTGGAGAGCGACCAGCCCGAGTTGTCCTGGCAGCACATCCTGTTCGAGCTGGAGGACTTCCTCGGCGGCCACTCGGCCATCGGCAATCTGGTCATGATGGTGCTGTCCAACGTGGTCTCGCACCCGGGCGTCCAGAGGCGGATCCAGCAGGAGTGCGACGACGTGCTGCGGGACAAGCTGCTGCCCAGGGGCGTCGAGCACATCACCCTGGACGAGCGGCAAGACCTGCCCTACACGGAGGCGACCATCTGGGAGACGCTCAGAGTGTCCAGCTCGCCGATCGTGCCGCATGTGTCCACCTGCGACACCGACATCGCCGGCTATTCCGTGGCCAAGGACACCGTGGTCTTCGTCAACAACTACGACCTGAACCTGGGCGAGTCGTACTGGGGCGCCGACGCCAAGCAGTTCCGGCCGGAGAGGTTCGTCAAGCAGGTGGCCGGCGTCTCGCGAGTGGTCAGACCCGAGCACTTCGTGCCGTTCTCCACCGGCAAGAGGACGTGCATAGGCCAGAGGCTCGTGCAGGGCTTTGCCTTCGTCATGGTCACGTCGCTGCTGTCCAAGTTCGACGTGTCGACGCCGCCGGGCGTCGACGTCGCGCAGTTCATCAAGCCGAGCTGCGTGGCCGTGCCGCCGGACTGTTTTCACCTGACTTTTACGCCGCGAGACACCAGCCGGAAGTAATGCCGCGCAAACGCGCGATGCAGGCAGCCTTGGAAGACAAGCAAAACATCTCTCTCTCTCTCTCTCTCTCTCTCTCTCTCTCTCTCTCTTCTTCCTCCTCGCGCTGCAATTCATCAATCCCGCAGACGACAAGGTGTTGAAGGTAGAATGATGTACGCCACGCTGACGCGTTGTACTGTTGTCCCAAGTGACTATATTTAGATTTCGCGACTCTCCGTCTTCTTCTTTTTCTTCTTCTTCTTATTCGTTTTCTTCTTTACTTCTTCTTCTTCTTCTTCTTCTTCTTCTTCTTCTTCTTTCGACGACGAATTCGTAATATCGAGCTTAGGGGGAGAATCGACGCGACATTGCTGCTCCTCTCTCTCTCTCTCTTATTGGTCCGGATGTCGCGCTGACTTCCTCGGTTATTCTTTGAGAAAGAGAGAGAGAGAGAAAAGGAGAGAGCTTCGAATATTAATTTGTAGTATAGTTGTTAAATGAAAAATTCGGCAAGACTATTAGATGCGTAAGTATACATGAGTTTTATTTAAATAGAGATGAAGAAGCGTTTCGCTTCGAATATGTGAGACCTTTAATATTAACTATTTAATTGTACTTTGTGTATTTCGCGTTGACCTTCGAAACGGGTTTCGATGAAGCTACACACACATGTGTGTGTGTGTGTGCGTGCGTGCGCGTGTGTGTATGTGTGTGTGTATGTGTGTGTGCGTTTTCTCTTCTCCAAATTTTATCTCAAGGGGGATATATGTATTTCGACTGTTAATTTCGCGTTTCTTCTCGCTCCTCGCCGCGTATGGCTTTGCGACCGAAGACGAGAGTGAGTCCTTCTTTTTGCTGTATCCTTACGAAAAATGTAGACTTTATACGCTCATCGTAGATGATTTACCCGACAAGACTGATTGTCATTATAATGTAGATGCGTTTTAATTATATGTCGCTGGAAGTTTCTTCTCTTCGCCGCACGTAGAGAGATAATCTTCGAATTCGATTGTAATGAGAAAAACCTCGGCGTGGTTTTCTTTTTCTCTCGTCGTCATAAGCAGCTTTTTTGTTCTCGTCCGAGGAGCAGCATATCCTCGAGGCACACATCGCAAATCGTATGAGAGAGTCATGTGCCCATCTATTGAACAATCGACACTTACTTTTAAGAATAAAAATCACACATGTATAATGTCTATATAAGCTAAGCATCGTCGTCATTATTATCGCGTAAGCATCGTCAAATTTTTGCTCTGTAAATACAACCAAATTATAATTGTCACATATAGTTAGATATAGCACGAACATATTTTTATGAATAAAACATTCTATCCATCATGTAAATCCAGTGTGTATGCGTAAAATTTTCCTTTCACCTGCAACTTTCTAGCAAAATCAAAAATCCGAGAAAGGAGAGAGAGAACATTAGCATACGGCTGCTTCGAATTCGCCGAGCGCACGCGCGCGCGGAATCACGCAATCGGTTCTTTTTTCCTTGTGTCTTTTTCTTTTTTGATCTTTCTTTTTCCTTTCTGCGCGCCGACTGCATCCGATGCCGAAGGAATGCGAGACGAGAGTGAAAATCGCCGAGAGAGCACGCGCGAGGCTCTCTTTGCCGTTACGGGCCCTTCGTCGTTGTTTATGCGCGAGGCGGACATCCTTCGGCTCATCCTCGCTGCCCTTGAGGTCTCCTCTCGATTTCCTTCGCGGCCCTTTTTCTCGCGGCGCGCGATCGCGCGAGAGGGAGGGACTATAAGGAAAGCCTCTATCTTTGGCTTTGCGCCTTGTTTTCATGGCGGTGGTTGCTCGCCCCGACGACCGACGATACCGTTTTTTCTGTCCATTCCCTCTCCTCTCGTTGCGCCGAGCACTTCGGCAAACTCGTTGCCGATCGCCGCCGCGCGGGCGTCGCGCTCGTTCCTCAAAATTTTATCGATTGCGTCATGGCACAGGACCGTCCCGTAGAATCACTGGTCTGCATTACAAAAATGGGTCGCCAATTAGCTTCGTCCCTCTCTCTCCCTCGCGTATCCGCCGATCGCACGCCGAACAAATCCAAGCTGCTTTCGAACGAGCAATCGGCGCGATCTCGTATGAATAAATACATGCCCAAGTGATCCTCGATTAAAAACTCACCTTTTCGCGCTAAACTTGATTGTTCTTGAGGCTCAAGTTCATTTCGCACGTAATTCATTCACACGCGCGCGAGGTTGGAGGATTTCAAGATTAGAAATATTAGGCAATAAAAAAAAAAAAAAAAAAAGAAAAAAAAAAAAAAACGCACCGCGTGGCTGCTCTTGACTGATCGCTCATTAGGCTTTTTTCGACCAATTAAGGCTGGGTGATTTACTGTAACTTGAGATGAAAAAAGAGAGTGACAAACACTTGACAAGGTTAATTTGCCTATGATGACTATAAATCACATAGATTCATTGGAGTTATTCGAGCGCATAATCCGAAAAAAACGAGGAAACGACTTAATTTAATTTGCCACGAGCGCCGTTTTTTTTCATTCGTGCGAGAAGAGAAAATTGGAATTCTCAGAGGCGAAAGAAAAACGTATTAAAAAGAAGTCTTGTTTTATATTTTATTCAGCCTTGAGGGGGGAAATAATCATTTAACACATCGATAACTTTAGAACGCGCCTAGGCACCTACCAATGCCAAAGCGACAGCAGCAGCAGCAGCAGCAGCAGCAGCAGCAGCAGCAGCAGCAGCAGCAGCAACGGCAGCAGCGGCGGAAGAAGCCACGAGTGAGAACTGGATCGCGTCGTTAAAACCAGTCTCATGTATAGACTCTGACTGAAGTCGGAAAAATCCCGTAGACCCATAGAGGAAACCCGTCTGGGTCTGGCGGCCGGAGGAAAAGGAAACGGAAAATAAAGCACGGGGAAAAAAGTGAAAAGCGCGGCACGAGTTTACGCGGCAAACGACGGAAGAAAAAGAAGGGATATACACGGCCGCGCGGCTCCTTTCCACGAAGCTTAGACGCGGGAAAACTTGTTTAGATCGACGCGGGTAGCTTCTAAGAGTCTAGGATTGACGCGCTTACGTGCCGGTCGTCTAGTCGCTCGTTTTGTCCCCTGCATTCTCGAGTCGCGCGCGACCAGTTTCGTTTTTCAAAGTCGAGAACTCGTTGGCGGATCGCTCGCCCCGGTTTTGTTGCTCGCGGGCGCTTCTAAGCGGTCACGCGCGCGCGAGCTTTCAATTTCGAGCGACCCGCCGCGGGACGGTCCGGTTCGCGCGAGTGGCCACGGGTAGGAGCCACTCGTCGGATTACCGATGCCGCGCTCCCACTCCGCCCGCGATCCTCGACCGTGCCGTGGCATGTGATGAGAATCCGATGACGCTACAAAAAACTTCATTTTCATCAAGTCGTGTCGCATCTATGTCGGTTATACACTCGGACGTAGTTGTGTAAACGATATAGATGCGACGCGACTTCATGAAAATCAAGTTTTTCGTAGTGTCGTTGGATTATCATCACTGCGGCGCGGCGAACCGGGCGAACCGTGCACCGATCAGGTCTTAAAAGCTAGCACCCATATTTAGCTTTTTTTCAAATAATCGACAAACTAGTCATGCCATTCGACAGTTTATCAAAAAATCAACAATTTTTTCACTTGCCGTTTGTTAGTTCGTCCTCGAAAAACTCTATAATAAAAATAAAGTAAGTCTTGGTGCTGGGCTTCAGCACCCGGATACGATGTGCGGTAAAATTCAGAAAAATTCATAAAAAAAAATAATTTACGCACTAAGCGTTAATTCATGAGACGAACCATCGGTACCGTTGGCGAAGTCATCGAGAAATTAATTATTCAAGTAAATAAAAATAAAAAATTATTCCGGCCTGACTGTTGAGTGCTGGCTCACGAAACCCCCTAGTGGCGCTCATTACTTGCTCCAGATAGACCAGATGACTTCATCATCCTTGTTGACGAGCTTAATAACAATGTACGTATCAGACAATCTTATTAATTAATAGATACTCACACTAGCAGATTGAATTTAAATAAAATTGGAATGTTTGCTAGTGCGTTATTATTAATTTTCAACGTTTTAATTTTTAATTTTTTAATTCCACATGGACTATTTAGAGCAAATAACGAGTCACCTGGAACATTGCGGGAAGCATACGCGCCGTTTCGGCGTTGTTCGTGGACCCATACCCAGCCTTCATAGATCGAAACAATGTTTTATTTCTATTTGCTATAATAATTAATTTATCTACGATTTTACGCTTGGTGTTGATAATTCATCTTATGGCTTAACGATTTGTGTGTAAATTATTTTTATTAATGAATTTTTCTGGATTTGACCGGACATCGCATCCGAGTGCTCAAGTCCAGTACCCAAGAATAACTTAATGTTTTTAAAGGGTTTTTCATGGACGAACCGACAAATGGTAGCGAAAAAAAAATCGATGATTTTATGATGATCTACCTGAAGACAAATTAGTTTATCGATAAACTTAAATAAGAAAAATCTAGGTGCCATCTTCTAAAATTTGCAGCGATCGCTCGATCGGCGAATTCGCCGGCAGGCAGGCAGGCAGCCGAGTGCCCGCCGATAAAGCAGGAAACGGTCCTATCTCCAGTCGCGCGGGCCCGAGTGTGCGCAGCGACGGCCGAGCAGGCCGGCGGCGCGCGCGCCAGCGCAGAGCTTCCCTGCCGTGCATCTATACGTTCCCCGTCGGCCCGTTCCGTGCTTCGATTGCGCACGCCGGACCCGCTGCCGTGCGCCGCAAGCTCGGCACGCCCCCCTCCCTCCCGATAGTCCGCGCGCGCCGAGCGACGCGGACGACTCGCCCGTATGATCCGGTTGCGCTCGCCGGTCAAAGACGCTCGCGGCCCTTAGTCCGCCTCGGTAGCGGCTCGCGCGCATCGCCAATTTCGTTTTTTTACGAGCGGCGGAGCTGGCGAGGTGTATATGTAGGTCGCCGCAGCTGCGCGCAGCCACCGCGGCGTCAGGTGCTACGGCGATATCACCGCTCCGACGCCTCTTCTCTCGGCGCGCTCTCTTCGCTGCATCCTCCCGCCCACGCGAAACGGAAAAACTCGGCCGGATCGCTCGTTGCCGCGCTCCCTTGGCGTCGCTCTGCTCTCCATCCCCGGAAAAGTATCGATACATTTACCGCGCCGAGTGGGCACTGCACGGCCGTCGAAGCGATCGATCGACGAGCGCGCGCCACAGAACGATTGGCGAGCGAGTCGCGGAATCGCGCGCCGGGTTTCCTTCGGAAGCGATGCGGCTCTCCCCGGTCGTCGACGTCTTCGAGTCTTCCGATCCTCTCGACGCGCTCGCGCCTCGGAATCCCATTTCCTCTCTCGCGCGCCAACTGCGAATCAACGTAAATCCATTGCCCGCGCCGGGAGCGGAAGTCTCGCAAAGCCAGTGACGTAACGGAGCAATGCCTCCCGAACGACCTCTGGTTCTGTTCCCGGGCACGGAAAAAGGGGGTCACGATGGCCGCCGGATAAAGAAACCGAGGAACGCAAGGACAGGAGGAGGCGCGATAAGCCCGACGCTGCTCCCTCTCTCTCTCTCTCTCTCTCTCTCAATCTTATCGGTCGCGCGCTCGCGCTCGTGCACCATCCGTAGCCTCTGGAGCGGAGCCACATGTCGGTCGCTGGGTCGCGTACGTGCCGCGAGCGCGCGATGCGCCTCCGAGGGAGGGCCCCGCGCTCCGATCGACGCGCGCGACGGCCGCGGAGCGGCGAGGAGCGCGGCGCGCTCGCGCAAAACTTTCCTCGACTCCCGTCGTGCTCGTGGCCGTCGCCGACGATCGTCGATCGCGAAACCTGGCGCTCGTCGGCGCAGCGGCGCTTCCCCGTCTCTCGGGGTCGGGTGGGGAGATGGGGGGAGGGGAGAGCTTGCGCCGCGCTGCCCCTCTCGCACTCGGCGAGCGACGCCTGCGCCGTCGGCGATGTTTACGTGCGCCTGACCTGGCGCACGCGTGGTCGGCGTCCGCCACGCGGTGCGACAGAGACAGGTAGAGCGAGGCGAGGCGCGCGCGCGCACCGCAGCCCCGGCCCGACGGCGAGCGCCAGCCAGCCTCCCTCCCCACCAGCGCCGCCGCCAGCAGCGAGCCGACGAAGAAAGAAACCGAGAAATCTAAGCGCGCGCGCGCTCTCCTCTCTCTCTCGCCCGCTCCGGCCGCAACATCGGCGGGCAGCAGGCAGCGCTCGCGGCGCGCGAGTCAAGTTGCCGTCAGTGTTCCCAAAGTTGGCGCGAGGCTGCCGTCGCTCGCGCGCTCACGCAACCTGCCCGGATCGGCACGCACGAGGCGCGCGCGCGCACTGCCGAGCTCGAGAGCGAGCGCAAGCGGCCGCGGTCGCGAGGAGAGGCCAGCAGCAGCAGCAGCAGCAGCAGCAGCAGCAGCAGCAGCAGCAGCAGCAGCAGCAGCAGCGGCAGCAGCAGCAGCGCGGCCCGAGGCCCACGGCTCACGGCCCACGGCGAGGAGCGACCAGCGGGTGGCCCCGCGAGCTCGGCCCCGGCGGCCAGCGCGGGCGATGGTGCCGCGTCCCGGGGCGGCGGGCCGACCACACCAGTCGGCGACGAGGACGGCCGGCGGCGCCGCGCGGCGCTGAGGCGCGCCCCCCGCGTCCCGCCGTCGCGCGCGCGAGCGCGCCGCCGCCGCCGCTGCCGCCGCCGCCGCTGGCGCCGCTGCCGCGCCGCCGGATCGATAGTCGCGCTCCGCAAGCTCTCTCCGTCGGTCGGTGCGCGCGCTCTGCCCGAGCGCCCTTCCCTCGGCCCGCCGCGCGCGCACGCACGGGCGGCCGCGAGCCTCGTCCCTTCAAAACAAACCCCCGCCGGGCGCAGCAGCCAGCGAGAGCAGAGAGCGCGGCGGCGCGCGGTGCGATGGTCCAGTGAGCGGGGATCCAGGTCCGGCGCTCGCTCCACTCGGCGGGGCTACGTGCGCGGAGCGCCAGCGGTCCACGGACATTGATGGGCGATTGCGCGGGTGCCGCGAGCCTCTTCCCGACCACGAGCGCCGCGGGCTCGAGCCCAGTGCCAGTGCCAGCAGTGAGCCCGCCGTCGTTCGTCTCGGCCGCGGGCATCGCGCCAGGCGGCATGCAGGACGAGCTGCTGATCGAGAAGGCCGCGGCCGGCCAGCCGTCGTCGTCCTCGTCGCCGTCGTCCGGCGGCGCGGCGCCGAGCAACAGCGTCTCCTCGTCCTCCTCGGCGTCGTCGCCGTCGACGGCTGCGGCGGCCGCAGCGCAGGTAGCCGTGGCGGCGCCACTGTCGACGTCGTCGCTGGTGGTCAGTTCCCTGGTGCAGCAGCAGTCGAGCGCCGATAGCGGCCCCAACTCCGTCGGCATCGTCGACGCGTCCAAGGTGGCGAAGGACGCGAGCGCCGTCGACTCCGTGGCCGAGAGCATCGTCGCGGCGGCGGTCAGCGCTCAGCTGGGCGTCGACAAGGACGCGGCGAGCATCATCGGCGCCAGCGCCGGCCTGCAGGGCTTCGCCAACGAGCGCGCCGCCGGCGTGCCGAGCCTCTGGGCCGACGACACGCCCAGCGGCCTGCACGCGCTCGGCCAGCCGGTCAACGGCTCCATCGCCGCCTTTCAGAACTTCCCCAGCGGCGGCCTCTTCGCCGGCTCCACCGCCGCGACCGCTCGGCGCGCGATCACCGCCAGCCACAACTTCCCCCAGCAGCAGCAACAGCAGCAACAGCAGCAACAGCAGCAACAGCAGCAACAGCAGCAACAGCAGCAACAGCAGCAACAGCAGCAGCAGCAACAGCAGCAGCAACAGCAGCAGCAGCACACTAACAACTCGCAAGCGCCGGGCAATCGCATGGCTCAGCAGCAGCAGCAGCAGCAGCAGCAGCAGCAAACCTCCCACCCAGGAGTCTACCTGCAGGGCAAGGGCTACGCGGCGTGGTCGGGCGGGGCCCAGCAGTCGGCCCAGCAGTGGGGTCAGAGCCCGTCGGCCGCCGCGGCGCACTCGGCCGCAGCGGCCGCGGCCGCTGCCGCAGCCGCGTCCAACCCCGCGGCGCTCAGCGCGTGGAACCGCGGTCGATCGGTGCCCAACATACCGCCGCTGCACTCGAACCTGCACGCAGCCGCGGCTGCCGCGGCGGCCGTCGCCAATCTGCAGGGCAGAAAGCCGAGTCCCACGTTCGCCGGGCACCCCGGCGCGACGTCCGGCGGCGGCGGAGGCGGAGGCGGAGGCGGCGGCAGTGTTCCGTCGCACCAGTCCAGCATCAGTCCCGTCAAGTTTCGGCGCAGCACCTCGTACCCGGGCAAGGCCAACCTGTACCCGATGCAGCCCGGCTCCGCCTTCGACGTTAGCGGCCCCGACGAGCGCGATCTTCTGCAGATATCGCCTTATCAGCAGGTGCGTGTACGTCTGCGCTCGCAGATTTCCACTCTGTCTGTCTCTCTCTCTCTCTCTCTCCCTCCCTCACCCGCTCCCTGTCTGTCCGTCCGTCCGTCCGTCCGTCTGTCTGTCTGTCTGTCTGTCTGGCACCGCGGCTGGCTTCGCGCGGCGGCGACGCGAGTCCCGAGGTGACTCGCGCGACTCGCTCGCGCAAGCCGTTATGCAACGCGCGCCGTGTGCCACGAAGGCTCTTGCATTTAAATTTAGCCCCGTCCGAGACTGCTGGTGGTGAGCGCGTTCGCGCGCCGGCACGCGGCTGCGGAGAGGCACGGCATAGCGACAGCTCGTCTTTCGTTTTTAGGTGTCGTTGCACCAAAGCTGCCTCGTCGAGCGTCATCCTCAACCTCTTACCTACTAGCGAAAGAAGCGCGAACAGGAAAAAGGACCTTGCGAAATTAGTCTTTTTCTTGCTTCTTTCCTTTTTCTCTTCGCAAGGTAGAGAGCAAAGGGGGATGGCTCGCGCTACGGACTTTTCCGTGCGATACGAAAGCTCTCTCGCTTACTCTCTCTCTCTCTCTCTCCCTCGTCGTGAATTGTGACCCAGATCGCGTGCGCGGAGATTTGCTGCACGGCATTAGCCTCTTAGGTGTCTAAGCTACGAGTCTCTCCACGCTTCTACGCGCTATTTTGGCGTCGCGACGAAAATAGAGAAAGAGCAAGAGAGCGCGCGCGAGAGAGAGCGAGATAGCGCGTGCGAGCGAGCGAAGCGGCAGCAGACGAAACGAGTGAGAGATGGAGAAATTATTGCTGCCGTCCCAGGGTGTCGAGAGTTCACCGAACGTCGAAAGCCGTACGGTCCGTACGATTTCATCGACGAGCGCGTCTTCGGCATGGAATCCGACGGTCAGCTTTTCCGATTTTTTTTCGCGATTTTACGAAGCACCGCCGAGGGCGATCGACTCACTAGGTCGTCAGCGCGCTCGCGAGTTTGACATCTAGAGCGCTCGGCGCAAAGCCGTACACGAACAATTAGACAGCGCGACACAGTGAGCACACACTGGCCTTATCTGCTCGACTGCAGTCGGCCTAGAGTTTAATTAACTGTTCGCACCTCGACGGAATTCTATCTCTATCTCTCTCGCGCGCCGGCGCGCGCTTGCCGCTACTCGTTGCTCAGCCGTCGAACGAAAATACACGCGCGCGCGCTCGGAAATTGAGAAGGCAGCTTTTGCGCCCGTCACGACGTATGTCCATCGATCGACGCGGCTCTCCATCCATATGCATTTTCCGCGAGCGACGACGCGCGACTCCAGGCGTACGCAGCGAATCAAGGCGCACGCGCTCGCCTCCTCGCGTGACGCGCGCACTTTCGACTTTTCGGCGCTCGGGAGCTCGCTGTCACGCGCGCGCTCGCCGCGAACGCCGAGCGAGCAGCGACGTCGCCGGAAAATGCGCTGGATCCTCGGAGGCGCCCCCCCCCCCTCCTCCGTCCGCCGCGCGACAGTCGTAAATTTACCTTATCTCTCTTGCAACTCAGGTGCGCGCGTCTTTTATTTATTTTTGCTCTTGCCGCGACTCGCTCGGCTCGAACGATCGGCGCGGCTTGGCGAGCGATTCCGCCCTCCCTGCCCCCGCCTTAATTGTTCTTTTTTTCCGGGCCGGACTCGGGCGAGTGTCGCAGGCGCGCCGCGCCAACTCCGGTTCGCGGACGACCTCGAGGAGTCCCGTTGCCCCGATGCTCGGCGAAGAATCGCGCCCCGTCGTCGCGGGATCCTCTTCCGGCTGCGGGATACATTTGAAAGCCGCGCGTCGCCACGTCTATACGCGGAGAGACGGCGATCTTCCGTACGCTCTTCCGGTCATGAGGCGTATCGTATTTTTATTGCGGCGTGCCCGCACCACCCCACCCTCCTCGTGCCGCACCACGCGCTTCGATATTATTTTTCCACCTCGAGAGAGGCGCTCGAGCCGCGGTAGTATCGACTGGCGCGCTCGCAAAGCGCGGCACGGCTGACTCGACTGAAAGACCACCGGCCGCTGCTTGTCGAGCGATATTTTTCCCGTAACGCTGCGCGCGTCCGCGCTTGCCGATCGGCGTTGGATTTCGCGCGGCGCTACGCGATTCGGCGCGAGTAGCCCCGCGCGCCCCGCCGGCGAGTCGGCGATCGGGGCCCAATCGCGGTCGACGCGTCCCTTCGGCGCTCGTGCTTTTCCTTCGTGATCCGCACCTGCCGACGGCGTCTCCCGCGCGCGGGAAGTATCCGACGACGAACTCGTGAATCCGACGAGCCTAGCGGACACGCAAAAACACCCGGCAGCGGCGCAGTTGCGAGGAGGAAGGCGATAGGTGGATCGCGCGGCGCCGTATCGCCCGCAGCCACGTTTCCAGCGCCGCGGACACTTATCGGAGCCGTGCGTACGCGCGCGAGCGAAAAGCAACAATAAATGCCAGTTTGCGAGTGGGTGCGCGGAGGGGGGAGGGGGGGGGGGGGCACAGCATTCGATCGCCAAGAATTTCGTGCGACGCGCTTATCTCTCGTCGTGCGTTCGCCGATTAAGCGACACCCGGGGACGGGGAAAAAAAAAGAGACGAAGCACAAGCGCGCGCGCCAAGGTTGCAGCGCGCAGGTGCTCGCGTTGCTCTTTAGCGCCCGCGATAAGCCGCCGAGCGTTCCGCGCCTCGATCGACACGAAAAAAAAAAAAACGAAATAGCAACGCGCGCAGTGTACGCCGCGGCCCCACGAGGAAGAGCCAGCTCCGAAGGCACGTCGCGCCGGCATTCGTGTGTGCGCCGCACCGATAAGATAAGATAGAAAACGCTCGCGACGTGCGTTTTCGGCGTTACGGGAGGCTTGTGTAATGCGCGAGCACGTGGATTTATGGAAATAAACCCGGGCCGTCTGGCTTGAATTGTCGCTTTTTTTTTTCCTTTCTGCCCGTCGGTTCGACGTCGCAATCGGCCGCGAGCGCTCGCGTCGGTCAAAGTTGGCGTCGGCTCGTCGCCGCGTCCGCGCGCCGAGAGCGCAAGCTGCGCGACCCACCGGCAGAAACGAGGACGCGGATTGAGCAACCCGATGCACGGGCCGTCCCTTGCTCTCGCCGACGGCCGCTCGCGCTGGCAATTAGCGAGTTTTGGCGCGCGCGACTCGTCGGCCGCGAGCGTGGCCTACATCGATTTCGGATCTCGCCGCCTGCCCGCCTGCGCGCGCGTCGGCCGTGAGAACGAACGGAGGACGAGGCCTCCGTTCGCCGTGAGCCCTCGGTCGCTTTGAGGCCGCTGCGGTCGGCGGGACGCGGAAGCACGCGGTCGCCCGAAGCACGGCGCTCGAACGCCGCCTCGACGCGGCGCGCATCGACTCGTCGCCGCACTAGGCCACGGCGGTCGATAACGGCGGCGCGCCACGGCCGCTCGCGCTCGAGGGGCTCGCGCCTTCGACGAGCTCCCGCGGGCCGGCAGAGTCCGCGCCGCGGCGACAACGCGCTCGAGCGCCCAGCTGTTGCGATCGTCCGAGGCGCGCGGCGAGTGCCTCTCCCTCGTCGCGATCGATGAGCGTGCGTAACCCCGTTTCAATGACAGTGTCGCTCTCGCCGGAGGAGCTGCGCGGCGCACCCTCGCGGCTGGCGAGACCACGGCTCCGCGACGATCGTCGCCGTCAAGTTCAAAAGCGACGGAGGACGCGTCGTCGAGTCGGTCGCTGAAGCTTCGGCTCGCCTCTGCTCTCGAAGGCTCTCCCTCGATTGCGTTTCCCTTTCTCTCTTGCGTGTACACGTGGAACCGATCGATGCGCGCAACGCCGAGCGTTCCCCCCGTTTTTTCTTCTTCTGTTCTTTTCTTTTCCAGAGACTATTTTCCGCCTCGCTATACTTGGACTATATTCGTGCAGCGAGCTAACGACAGCTTTTTCTCGCGTACCTGGCGACCTGACTCTAGAAAGTTCGCCCATTTGCGTGGCTTGTTTCGAGGTAATTCGCGACGCAAGTTTTGTTAGTTCGTAAGCTACTTATCGCCGCAATCTTTCGCGGAAACAAGGTCGAATTGTCCATGCCGCGGGAATTCTCGTAGCGCCGCGTACGACGACGAGCCGAATGGAAATGACTTTCGGCCGGCGGCCGGAAAAATTCGCGCTAATCGTCTCGCGCGCGGCAGTTCCCCTTTCCCCGCGCGAGCGTCCCTCGGCATCGATTCCCATGCTCGCGTACTCCCCGACACGCGAAAAAGAAAAAACAGAAGGCGGAACCGCGTGCCCGCCTTTCCGTTTCTTTTTTTCATCTTTTTATCAGCGATATCTCGACCGTCAATTACGAGGCTAAAACCGAACGACCGCGTTTTCACGCGGCGCGACTTTATCGACGCGCCGCTACCGTCGCCGCCACTGTGGCACTCATAAATTATTGATAGGCCTAGCGCTGCGCCGAGAGGCAACAAAAGTCGGCCGTGTGTTTTTTCTTTTTTTTTTTTTTTTTTATTTTCATTTCGCCTTGGCGTTCTTCCGCCCGCCCGCGACGACGCAACCGCTGCGCGACTCGAAATCGCGGCGCGCATTATTAACCGCCGCTAATCGACTCGGCCATACATAGGCGCGACGACGTTGCGCTGTGTTTCGGGAGGCTTGGCGGTTCGTCGACGGGGCCGCGCGTCACGGCCGCGCCGCACGCGACGGAAGCGCTGCGCGTCGGTCGATCGACTCGAGCAGTTATCATCGGCGACGTCCGACTTTTGGCTGGGCATCGTTGCGCCGCTCTCCCACGACTGGCGGCCGCAGTCGCGCTCGTCCTTACTGGCGATCGGCGCCGGCAGAGCGTCGTTTCCACGAGGTCGCTCTGGCGAGCGACTGTTACCGCGACGTGCGCCGCGCGTTCTAAGGCTAATTGCTCTTCGGAGGGCAGCGTCGCTTACCGATCCGACCTGGATTACATTTACGGCCGTTTCCATTTTCAGGCTCGAGTCGACTCCGCGCCCAACTAAAGATAGGGCAGGATTGTCTTCGGATCTCCCCGCACTGATTTATTCAGGTTT